ACCAGAATGCAAGGTGGGAGGAAATGTCGCAACCCCCACAGTACAGAATGAAGTGCTTTCAATTTAAACTCCGGGCATCTGCACATGCCAAGAAACTTTGATGACTCTAACTTCATTTTGATTTATGGCTATGTTGTTTTCTGTTAAGTGTCTCCTGTATTGAGTCTGAGTGTGTGTAAAAATGATTAATAAATGGTGTATGTAAACTTTTAGTAGCTTTTGAATTAAGAAGACAGCCTTCTCAGTGTCAACATCTATTTACGAGCAAAGAGGCAAGGTAAGAAGATTTAAGATTATTCCATTTGTTTCAACTGTTTAATTAGAATTTAGACTGCTCGTGAAACTATATATTAAACATTAATTCTTAAATAAGAGCATTACAAATTCTTTATTAACAGTAAATTAATATAATCAGTAAGAATTCTCCTATTCACAGTAAAATAATATGTAAGAATTGTACACAACAAAAATAATACATAACACTGCTAAAAAAACTTTTAGACAAGATATTTCTTAAATAATAAATACCTTAGAACCTGAAATTAAAAAGATATATGGCTAAAAATATGGGAGAGGAAAATCTGTTTTTATTTATTTCTAAGAAATCTGAATTAAAGAAATTGATGAAAAAATACTGGGTTGTTTTAAAGGGGTGAGTCTAAAATATGAAAGAAATGTAATACAGTATTAGAGTATGAAGAAAAAATGAGTATATATATTTTTAGGGATAAAAAGAAACTTAATTTCAATTATCAGGTTGTAACATAGAATACCAGTCTACTGCTGCAATTAAGATTGAAAACAAAACCAAAATTCTGTTACCTAAAATTTCAACTCTTAAGTATAATGGTTTATAATTCTTCTGAAAATGCTATTGGGAACAATAATGAATTAACAAATATTCCAGAGACTAGAGAGTCCAGAGACTTCTAATTTAATAATAAAACTCAAAGAAAGGAAAGAAAAGTTATGGAGTTAAGCAATTAATTACTGAACAGTAATTACTGTACGAGTTCCTACTGCTTCTGGGTTAAACACAGTTACTAGACTGTACTGTTTTTAGTGTATTCTCCATATACACAATGTAGGAAAATGTGAGAAAACAGATGATCCAAAAAAAAAGAATGTTAGTAGAAACCAACTGCATTGTTCCAGATGCTTTAGAAAAGCACACATACTATTGTTTAGATGTAAGATAAAACTTTACTTGCAGACTGTATAATATTTTATATCATAATAACTTATTTTAAGAATATTGTTCCTGAATTTGAATCACTTTCAGATATTAAACAGATTGTAATTACATCATCATATTTTAAGAGGAATGTAGTTGCACTCCTATCATCAAACTCTAAAGACTGCTTCTGAGTCTGTTAATAAAGGTATCTATTTACAAACTTGAATTGCTTACTCTTCAATAAAGATAACACTAGAAGTTAATTAGTAAAAATCCTAACTGATGGTGAGTCACAAATTTCATCATTAGATCAGATTTAGCTAAAAAGATAAAAGAGTTTACAGAAAGAAAAGTTATATATTTATTCTTTTGGTTATATTCAGGATATGCTAATTTAATATTATGTTGTTCAAATTATCCTTAATAGTTTTTATTACTCTAATGGTTCAATCACAACTGAAATTCACAGACACTATTTCTAAAAATTTCCTCAAAAACATTTTGGATATATTAAAATCAGAACCTTTAATATTAACCCATAATGGTGACTTAGCTGATATAAAAATACTGCTGAGAGAGTTAATTAAGAGCTATTTATGCTTTCGCTAATGTTTGCTTGGTCTTTACTTGGATCTTTTAAGGATGGTCAGTCTAGTGCTGGTGTGTTTATAATTGGTATTTCTCACTGTTTGAAGGAAAGTAAAAATTTAATTAATAACTGTTTGAGAAATGTTGAACTTTAGACCACATGGGTCTAAGGAAGAATGAAAATTGAGATGATAAATCAATCATTGAGAAATTTGAGAATATCTTGTATTTTATTAATGGCAAATATGTAGAAATCAAACCATGTGAATTTGGATAATAATTTAGAAAATTCCAAGCCATTTCTAATACCTTTAGCTAATAAACTACAGAACAATAAATGGCTTAGGCAGAATTATAGCAACATAATAAATTATCAGTTAAAAACTGACATAATTGAAAAGCATAAAATTGAAAATCTTGATGGTTACCATCAAGAACAACAGAGGATGTAAGTGCTTCATGGTGCATGTTTTTGCTTTTGGATCTGGACGCCAGTTTGAATACATAATGAAAATTGAATAAATTTGATGTGGATTTTCTTTGATTTATAATTATGGATCATTTAGAATAATATCTGTTTAGAATAATCTATGCAGAATAATATTTCTTGATTCTTGATCCCATGATGTATTAGGCTTATCATAGATGAAAAATTTTATGTCTCTTGGAAAAATAACATTTACCAGTTTATATAGATCAGTGGTTTTCAGTCTTTTTTGCTCCATGCACCCCTTTTACCATTGTTAGACGATCATCCCCCGACGATCGATCATTAGTCAAAATTTGAAAAATACATATATACATTTATTTAGATTATTTTCCAATGTGTTTTATAAATTAAAAATAAAAAGTACATAAAATGATAGCAAATACCAAAATGTGAATAAAAGTAATTTTTTAATAGTCAAAAACTAAAAATTAATACTCAACGGCTAAATAAAAGTTTAATTGCATTCCCTTGAATTCCTCTCATAGAAGATAAATGAGCTAACAGCATAATATTCCCAGAATTTGGAAAAAGCAATATAGATGTTTCTAAGACCAACATAAAAGGTATTAAATTCTAAAAAAAAACATATCTGATAACTCAAGGTAATATATGAAACTTGATTTACTCTCCACTTTATTTTTTCTAACAAATCAGCATTTTAGAAACAAATGGAAAAAAGTGAACCTCATACAACCATTCTATTTGCATGTGTTGCATACTTTAAAAGACAGTATCACAAAGATTTTAATGATCTAATACAAACTATTACATTTTCCAATAACACATAACCTTCTTCTCTTCATATATCAATGATATTTTAACCAGATGCCCTGCAGAATACACAGTAAATAATTTTAATAAAAAAATTGTAAATAATAAAAATTTTAAACATTTTGTTTTCTTAAGCCCTTGGTTTTATATAGCCACTGGATATATTTGAATTTTATAATCATCTCTCACATCATTATTTCGCACATGATGTAGATTCCAGTTTTAGCCAAACTATATGGTTAACCCAAAATTATAGTTTAAGACTTCTAAGCTCTATTTATAACTTCTTCATAAACATAGTTCATGTACACTCTTTTGCAAAAAAAAAATCGAAGCTAAAAGAAGGACTTTTACAATCCTAATGAAATTCGGTATGCAAAAACATCTTGATCGAACGTGCAAAAGATCAAAGTTTCAAGGGAAATAAAGAGGAATTGCAATCATAGCACGCATTTCTAGAGCAATTCGCAAAGTATAAAACCAGTAACTGAGGTGGAAAATTTATCTTTTTTGCTGAAGAATAAAGAAGCAACTAAAGATGCTATTACGACGATTTCAAAGACCTTACAGACAACTAAATGACTTAGAACGTGGTCGCATTGCAGGGTTGTGTGAAGCTGTATGGTCATACTGAGCAATAAGCCACAACCTGCAGTGTACAGACACTGCTGTGCTAAGATGTTTGCAGCAATGGTTGCTACAAGGAAATTGCCGATGAAATGAAGGCTCTGGATGACCAAGGAGCATAAATACAAGGCAATATAGGATAACTGTTCGCCAGGTCCGAACCGTCCCAACGGTATCATTGTCAACTATTCAACACACTACAGCCACATCTATACCTCCCGTAGTACCGTCCACCATCTCGAGGCACTTGTCTGAGCTGGGGTTACACTCACAGAGACCTTTAAGACGTTTGTCTTTAACCCCACAATATAGGTGGAGTCATCTGGAGTGAAGTTGCAGCTGATCATCATGGCTGCCATCAGACTGGCATCGTATAGTGTTCAGTGATGAATCCCGCTTCCCTCTTGAAGCAGATGACCACCGTGTTCATGTCTGGAGAGGACAGGGTCCTCTCCAGACATGAACTGGATGTCTGGAGAGGACAGCAGTCCCAATCAGCCTTTGCTTTACAAAGGCATACCCCCTGGTGTGATGGAGTGGGGCACTATTTCTTATGACAGCAGGTCATCTTTAGTCATCCTCCGTACATCTTTAACAGCTCAACGATATGTTTAAACCATCCTGCAGTCGGTTGCATTACCTTTCATGGTATGTCATCCTGGGGCCATTTTCCAACAAGATAATGCCAGGCCACATACCAATCGCATATCTCTGGACTGTCTCTGTGCAATTGATACTTTTCCTTAGCCAGCAAGGTCACCAGACCTTTCACCCATCGAGGATGTCTGGAGCATATTAGGCCGCCAGATTCGGGCACTACAAAATATCGCAGATCTGGAGCAACAACTGATGAATGCCTGGCAGAATGTGTCGCAGGATGACATTAGGAACCTCTACCTTTCCTTGCCTTGTTGAATTCATGCATGCATTGCCGCCAAGGGCAGTTCGACCAACTACTAATTTGAACACTCAGTGGGTGATTGTGAGCCATGAACAGGTACTATGACTTTGATTTTTAATAAGGTTGAAAAGATAAACAACCAAAAAAAAAGGTTGCTTGTGCAATGATCAGAATAACATGACTGATCTGTAGTGCCCATTAAAAGGTGAAGCAGGCGGAATAATAATAAATAATAATAATCATTTTATTATCTATGTATGAGCTATAAACATATTCAATTTCATCAAAAACAACCACTTCCTTCATGGTGCTTTGAAGTTGGACATATGAACATGATAAAAATTATAAACCTCAATAAGAGATAGTACAATTATTAACATTCACAGAAATAGAGATCAGAAAGAATGAAAGTCATAATTAAATACATGAAGTATAAAATTACTAACCGCATGAGAAAACGCCACACAACAAACAGCACGTTCAAATTCACCTGCTCCAATAATGTGAAGGGTATGTAAGCTTACAGAATCCCATATCCTTACATGAGGCTAAAAATTAAAATAACACAATTCATTACAAAATTTCTTACAGTATAAAATTTTACCTAAAATAACAAAAGTCAGTGAATTATGTAAATAAATCCGTACATTTTTGCAAAAGATGCAAATTATTTAAATTCATGGAAGAACAGCATGCAAAATAAATGGTTTCAAAGTACATGCTCAGAATATTATTGTATGCATAATTTTAAAAAATTAAATATCTACTGTCAAAGTTCCTCTTCCTGCAAAATTATAATCAAATATGCAATTTGGTACAATGACGAATGAGCATACACAGCAAATTGAGAAGCATAGTGTAGTAAAATTTAAAAAAAGCAAACATAAATTTGATCCATAAATCATATGCGATATGAAGTTTTATGTAAGCTACATTATGCCATAGGGCAGAAAAAAGTTTTAGTTTTTAGTTTTTCCATTCAACACATGCCTAAAGGTAAAAATTCTCATGCAAAAACAAGGAATATAAATTACCCTTTTTGATAAACGGGGCTGCACAGGAAAAAAAAAAAAAATCTTCTTACTACAGATATTTTAAACAAATATCAGGTGACACAGCAACAATAAAAGTGAATAAAGAAATAATTTACATACAAAAAACAATAGACGACAGAGATGAATACTGTAAAAAGATTTACAAAAATCACATTATATACTTATTTCTCCAATATTAGTAACTGGTATTTCTGCAAACATGAATGAACAAAAAAGCCAAATATGGAAAAAATATTAATAAATTCCAGAATTTTGTCAGCTTATTAAAATCTAAAAATTTTCAGAATTTCTGTCAGAATATGAGAAGGATATCAAAGAAATTTCATACAACACTGAAAATATTATTGCCAACAAAAATTCATATGTTTAATTACTTCATATTGTAATGAAAGAGAAATTCTGTGTCTAATATACTTAATACAAGAAAGGCTTTTTTTTTTAATATTTTTAAATTTGATTAATTTATTTGTATACATCTTCAAAAAAATTACCTTCACAAAAATATTTTCTTGAATTTAATTTAACCTTAATTAAATTAATTATGTTTCCTCCAATCTAGTTAACAAGAATGCATATGTAAATACTGGTTAAATTAGTAATATTTACTTTATTAAGTAGCACATGCCATCTTAGTCGCATATTTTTAAAAGTAAAACCATAGTCACATATTCCCATTTATTTTATTGCTAAATAAAGATTGATTGACAGAGAACAATCTTTGGAAAATTGACTGTTAAGAATCAATATCGTATTAATGATAAATAAACCATAAGTAGTACTAATGAATCCCAAAAAGATTGAACTTTGATGTCATTCTTTCAAGTTTATCTCTGAAAAAATATCTCTAGATAGTTATTTTGATATATTACATCCATAACAGTTTATAAGTACGTATTTACATCCAAAATATATCAATAACAACTTTCTATTTATACTTTTCCCAAATTTTTATTAGTAACAATACTCAGCAAACTTAAAAAATGTAAAAATGTTTCTTCTTTAGTTTATTTTAATTTAAACACGCACGCACACACATATATTTAATATGAAAGGCAAATATATATATATCCTTCTATCACAAATATATATATATATATATATATATATATATATATATATACAGCCTTCTATCACAAATATACATATATATATATATATATATATATATATTACAGCCTTCTATCACAAATATACATATTTGTGATAGAAGACTTATACATCTATATAATCATATAAACATACATGCACACATAAACAAGAAGTTTGAGAAAATAGTTACTTACTCTACGTTCTCGTCTATCAATGCTTAGAAGGCTTACACATCTATACAATCATATAAACATACATACACACATAAACAAGAAGTTTGAGAAAATAGTTACTTACTCTACGTTCTCGTCTATCAATGCTAGCTACTTGACCTGTCGCTATCAGTAACTTGTTAGGATGAAGAGCAAGGCTAATAAAGAAAGCAAGAGTAGTTAAAAGTAAAAATAAAGTAGTTAAAGTAATAATTTTAAGTACAGGAGAAATGCTTGAAGAAATAAAAGCCATATTTAAAAAAAAGCAACTATTTGTACAGGGGATAAGAAAATAATTTTTTTTTCCTCTTACAACATACTTCTTTTAACAGCAGTTCATCTTAAATTTTAATTATGTATACAATTTATGTCACATTAATTAATGAATGGACAGAAATACTATTGCCCAATGGATGGGTAATAATTATAAAGAAAAATATTCAAGCAGATTTAGTGATCATGGCAATAAGTTTTGAATTTGTAGTTGTAATAATCTTCTTGTATCTGAAAGCAGATTTATGGAGTAAAATTTAAACATGCTCTGATGTAATTAACCATCACAACTGCCAATCGTTTTGCTTGGGTTATGTAAAAATTTCCTTTACAGTAACACTTTTTAATAAATTTAAGACAATCTTTAGGTTTAATGGTAAAACTTTATTTATCATACGTAAATTCTCAAAGGAGAAGAAAACTTTCATGAGAAAATGATAAAAAGTTGTTATAACTTTGGGGGGGGGATAATAATATTTGTCAAACATTCTATACACAGTTCTAGTTTATCTCCACAATCTTTGTACTCATACAGGGTTCATACACATTTCTGCACACGCAAATAAAGTACTTTTAAGGACCATTAATGAAAAAAATTAAGGACCTATGAGCAAATGGGAACTGAATAAAATCAATTAAAAATATTATGTATGCCTGAATTTCATTTTTGTAATACTAACCTAAAAGTAAAATAGATCCTTAAGTAGTATGCATTATTACTAAACATGAATTAATTAATTATTAATAAGTTTGAGAATAAAAAAAACTTTATGCAATTTATCAAGTAGCATTAAATATTTTACACTTATAATAGTTGGACATATTTGAAAGAAGATAAGTGACATTTACGTTTTACTAACAGTTAACTTCAAATTGATCTTTTATAATGTCTCATTTTGTCACATACTTGGTCAGTCTAGAGGTTTAGTAAACAGCAGGTAGATGTTTATGTCAAAAAGGATAGGTTAAAATGAGAAGTAAGATCATAATCAGCATCATTCATAACAAAAGACAATGTTGTCACCGTTGCTGCTTGTCTAGAGAGAGAGACCTGATGATTAGAATAATCCTGAAAGGCCTGATGTTAGGCACGGTTGGCAAGTGTTGAAAGTTAGTCAGGCTCTGCAGTTGATGCAGTTAGTGTCATAGCTTAGTGAAGAGTTCCAGAGGTTTTAACTTAGTTAATATACTTTAAGGCCATTAAAGCAATTAATTATTTCAATAAGCCATTAAAGCACCAGAGCTGATAAGTTGTTTTGTATTATTTTAAGTCTCACTAGATGCAAAGAATAAGTTTTACTTGAATTTTTACATTTTTGTATTTTATCTTTAATGAAAGGCAATAACTCGCTTTAATATATAGAGATCATTTTTAAGGGTAAGCAGTTGGTTATAAATAATTAAATTAGGTAGTTTGATAACCTTAGTCATTATGGATTTACATGGCCACTATTAAACTTTATTTTTTAACAATATTTGTTAAAAAAAGTTTTTAACAATATTTGTAAAAACATTTCTGTTTTGTAACAACAGTACTCAAAAAATATTTATCAGTCATTTTAATTTGAAGCCTTCCCACACATTTTGGCTAGTTAATATCTATTTCCTTCTCTTTAAACCTTTTTTCTAACAATTAGAGATTTGTCTCAATAGCTCTCGCTAGTTTCTGTGTGCTTTATCTCCTAACTTGCCAAACTCTCCACAATGTACCTATGAGGGTTTACTTGACCTGCTAAAAGTGAAATAGTCCAAAATCTCCGACAGACGTGAAGCATATTATCACTATGTCTGAAAAAAAAACTATAATATAAGACAAAGGTTTAAATAAACTTCTTATTTAAAAAGAACTTGGAACATAAAGGCATGTTCTGATGCTAACAAAATCAATTACAGCTCACAGTGATGTAATAAACAAAAACAGTTAAATTCAAACTAAAAATGTGGACTAGTGCTCAAAGATTATACAATTTAATTTTAATTTAATCTGGCTCAGTAACTCTATTATATGAGGAAATAGAAATGGGAAGTAAAAGTAAAGGCTGAAATCATAAATAATTGGGTAATTTACATAATAATAGCTGCACATATCTTTGAAGGGGTGTACTCCAACTGCACTAATGAAAATCCCCCTCCCCGGATCGAGCTATAGTCCAACTGCGCCAATCAAAACTTCTTCCCCCCTGCTGCCTACAGGGTTACAATTTAACTTTTCAAAGCCAATTGTAGCCAAGAGGAAAATAAAAATAAATAAATAGAATTACATATCACAAGAACAAGTAAAAAATATCTAACAAGCAGGCTAATTACTTGAATAACGGTAATAAATGCTAGAGCTAACAAAAGAAAATAAAAGGTATTGGTAAAACATACATATTAGCATTACAAACATCTTTCATTTATGATAATAATATCATAAATTAAATAATTAGAAAGCATACAAATTATATTTTTAATAAATTACATCAATAATAGTCAAGATGTCTGAACTAGACTGGAAAATTTAATAGAATGCAAAAAATTATTCCATATCAAAGTGTGCTAAAGTGTGCTAGAAATATTTGTCGTTAATTAAAGCAATCATGTAAATGTTTGCAGAAATTAATAGTTAAATTTAAAAAAAGGCTTAGCATGAAATCTATTATAACAACATTACTAAGCATTTGGATCACTGATGTATACATTGTAAATAAATTTAAATTATTATGCTAAGAATTTTTCTAAAATTTATCTAGAAGAAAAGAATTAGATAAACAGTACTGCAAATTAATATAATCAATCAGGCCTCTCAAAAAATAAAAGCTTATTTTTTTAACCAAAAACTAAAAATTAGGATGCAAAAGTTTGTGTAATATACTTGGAAATATCTGAGCACATAATTAGTTAGAAACATACAATTAAATTAATAACAAGCTAATTAACAGTAACATTAAGCTTAATTTCATTCAATCTAAAACAAGCAATCGATCTGGAACTCTGCATAACTGAAGTTTTAATGCTATTTTACGTAGATTTGTGTATAAAATAAAAGTTGCACTTGTGAAACAAGTGAATAATGTACTGATCGTCAACAGGAATTAAAATACAGTGGTTAAAAATATAACTGCTTGTCAGAAGGTATGCAAAGTTACCATGGCTAGAGAAATTGAATGATTATAGAAAACTCATAATGTTAAGCGCTACAGTGTGAAAAGAAAATTCTGAAATAAACATGTTAAGAAAATTAGATGGAGAAATAAGCCTTAATTTATTGATATCCATATAAACTCTATGCTTTTGGAAAAATGTAACATGTAATTTGCATCGAGGTATCAATCACCAAAACTGTGTTAATTTCTTTCCTTATTTTTTCTTATTAGAGAGATTTTGTAAAAAGATATGCTAAGGTAAAGATGAAAATTTTTGCAATATTTTTAAAGAATAAATTTAAAAAGTATTTTTACTTCATGAACTGAAATTTTTACGCTACATTTTTATACAGTAAATAAGTACAAAAAAAGAAAGAGCTGGGGGATCACTGGAACTAGAAACTCGGGTCGAACTACCAATGTTTAGTGACTTTTCCACTTGATCATAAGACCTTTTGAAATTAGGCTGAACAATATATTAAACAAAATAGAAGATACAGCACACTCAAGAACAAAAGTGGGCTGAATTACAGATTTACATGTTTGGTGAATGAGCTAAACTTACCTGTATGACATTATGAAAGATTAGGAATGTAGCATAAAAGCATGAGTGAAGAAGGCAATGGCAATCTAAATCATTGTAATCTAAATGTATATCATTATCAGTATCTGCTATTAATTTCAATACTGCTGAAAAATTATAAATGAATTATATTATAAATCACATGAACTCGTTGCATTATAAATTACAACAGTTAGAAATATTATTAGCGTGATTCAGTGACCATCGTTGTTAACAAATAATTTCAATTAATTAATTTTACAAATAATTCAGCCTGAAACTAGGTTGGAAAATAAGCTACATGCTGAAGATTAAGCTTTGCCAAGGTGTTAGAAACATCTTCTGTTAACTAGAGTTGTGATGCAAGAATTTGTAAAAATTATCATTTAAATATAAATTGGCATAAATACAATACAAAGTATACAGTCAAAAGTCGTTAATTCGGACACACATAATCCGGAATGATCTATAATCCGGACCTCAAAGCTACAAACTTTCTGCGCATGCCTCACATTGACGCATGCGCATAGGCGTTTACGCGTGCGTGTAAGACCTTTATGGCTGCGAATATGCATGTGCACTTGCGCATAATACGTTGACGCAGGCGCGTTCAATGTATAACGAATGGTATAAGCTAAGCTAAAATTATCTAATTCAGTTAATGTTGCAGATTGCGTTGTTCCTTAATCTTTGAATTGGATCCAGTTTATTATTTTCTGCAGACTGTTAGAGCAATTTTATAAAAGTAAGCTTGAACTTTCGATTATGTCAAATAATTTCCAATATATATTTACTAATACGTAAAAGATCTACAAAGCGAAAGTATGTTTCGAAGTCCATTAAACAGAAAGTGGAATTGCTGCAAAAAATGGATAAAGGCATATCCTTTGATTATCTAATCATTCTGAAATATGTTTATCAATTTCCCGCTGCTCTACGGGGGGGATGCGGCGCGCAATGAATTGCAAGTTGATCTGTCAGCACTATCCTTATCTTCAGGGCAGATGTTTTTAATTTATTTGGCTTATAATTCCTTACTAAATGTAGTATTTCATCTCGATGTGCTCCATCTTTGATATGATTTAAATCAAGTTTCTTGTCATCATAATTCGCTTCCGATAGTGAAGAAAGTGACACAGAGGTTATTGAAAACGAAAAAATTTCGATTGACAAATTAGTTGGTATTCTCGATACAGCAATTATAGGACTTGAACAGCGGAACTTTGTAACTAAACAAGAAATTATGTCTGTTTGATAGAATTGAAGAGAAAGTATTATCACATGAAACGAAGCAACTTAAACAACTTACATTGAAAGAAATGTTTAATAAAGTAAACAAATAAATATTAAGCTTTTTCTTTTTGTAAATTTTGATACCACTTTAAATCATAATTGTTCTTTATTTCATAAATTACTCTTTCATATTTTTAATTTTGTAATTTCTGCATGCCATCTTACCAGATTTAAACTGATGATCTATAATCCGGAAAAATCGATAATCCGGAATAGCCGAAGTCCCAACGAGTCCGGATTAACGACTTTCGACTGTATAAATTCTACATACATGAAAACTTGAGTACAGTGCAACAATATGTGAAAAAGGAATGGATTAAAAAGGAACTGAAAATCCCAGGATATGAATATAAGTTTTTTTTTTTTTTCCCCTTCCTGTTGTTGTTAATTATGAAAATTCTGCTGATGCTCATAATTATTAATTTATTAATTAAATGTGTATTAGAAGTTAAATGTATGCCAAAGTACATCAGGTGGAAAACAGAATAAATATTTAAAGGTTTCTAGTATTAAAATATGGAATTTGTAACAAAGTTAAATAACCTTAAAATAACTTCAATGATTAAAAATTGAAAGCTTAATACAGGAATATATTGCAATAATATTAGTGTGAATTTAGAACGACTTAAGAAGTCCAATTTTTAGACTTAATAAAGATAATTTTTATAATTAAATTAGAACTGTTTACCTAAAATGGTAAATTTGAAAGTTAAAACCATTCTACTATCTAAGAAGATTTGTTAATATTTATCTAGACAAGAAACATATTTAAGGTGAGCTACAAATCCAATATTTGATACGTTTGATTATGTATCAGTTTTGTGTATGTCATTAATCTATCAATTTTACTATTCAAAACTGATATATACATATATATATATCAGCGACTAAAATCTACAACTTGGAAAGTTTTTAATTCTTACAGAGAATAAAAACGATCTGGCTCATCATTCTTTTAAGCAGCATAAAACTTTAAAATGAGTGTAAAAGAAATTTATTTTTACTTTAGCACACGCCAGACTTTAAATTAATATTTGTTTTACATGCACAATTTTTACAATATTGATAAACAAAAATAAAGGCTTGCAGTCTCAATAGAATGTCCCATTAATGGCGATAAATGACTTTTTGTAGCACCCAATCTTCTTGGAAAGAAATGGGGGACAGGAAACGTCGCACAGTTCGTGGATTAGAAAAGAGGGGAACGGGGATTTTCGATCAAATTTGGCACAGTTCATACCCTACCCTTTGAAGAATAATTTGCTTTATGTATTCAGTTTCTTTCTTCAACATGTTTCCTTTTCATTTTAGATTTTTTTTTTTAAATTTGATTAAGGATTTCTGTTATTGTAAAAAACACTAAATGCATTTAGAATGTACAGAAAATGATCGCTAATTTTATTTCTTTAGTAATATGAACATTCAGAAGAAATATGAAATACATATGGTAAAGACCAGTTACAGAGCAGATGTGGCAGAATTTTTAGAATTTAATGACACACTGAACAACAAAATCTAGAAATGGCAAACATTTAGAATTTAGAGCTGGCATTGGAAGCATTTAGAACACGGAAAATGCCTAGTGCAAGCTATGTGCTAGTATGGTGCATTAAGACATATTAGATTAATCTTTTAAATTGTAAGTTTTCAATTTCTTTATTAATAAAAAATCCCTTTCTATAATGCCTGCCCATGTGATAAGATTAGAAGCATTTTTTACATTTTCCATGCTTGTGTATAGTGAAAAGCAGAGAAAATAAAGGGAAGATAAACATGTTAAGATTCTAGTATCAGAAATAAAACATTCAAATATTATGTTTTCATTGTTCTTCCAGACGTTCTCCAAAAAGTAAGAAATTCATTGCAAACATTCTGTAAAATACATCCATTACGTGTTGGAGACATTTTTCATTTTGTCACATATTTCTCGAATCTAGAATCGTGGGTCTATAAATCTTGCCTTCAAAACGTTGCAAGCTGCAATGTCTAAGTTCCTAAAGAAAAATTATCCCTACCAATTCCATAACAGCAAAAAGCCAGAAATATTTTGGAAAAAAAAGAGAGGACGAAAAAGTGTAAAATTAATTTTATAGAGAAAACTGATGCATATTCTGAGAATTTTGAATATTCTGAGACAGTTCTCTCTCTTACTATGAAACTCTTACTAAGAAAAAATTAAAAAGAAGATATTTTTAATTAATTACATAGCTAATTTCACTTTTCTAAGATCAGTTTCATAAATTGCGCTTTATAGCATACCTTGTTTATTTTTCAGATTCAAAATATTGCATAATAAGTTGCCGAAATGAAACTTTATAAATATGACAGCGAAAAATAAAAATGTTTTATTTTAATATTATTTCTTAAATACAATTTCAATATATTACCGTTATTTTAATAAAATTTATCAATGTTATGATGTTTTTAAAAAAAATCGTCGAAAAATTCTCAGATCTCGGAATTAAAAATTTTCCATAGAAACTGATCTTATTGTTGATAAGTCACCAAATTTAGAACCGTTTAATAAAAGAATTCACATACCCAAAAGTGAAAAGTTTTAACAGCTATTAGAAAATGTGAATTTTGAAATACTTTTGTTCATGTTCGAAATACTTCTTGCTTAGAAACCCGAGTATCCTATCATTTATACTAGAAATAGAAACAAATTATAACCCATGAACCCATTCAAAAGCATATACGTCAGTGAATCGCCAAAAAATATTCTTCCAAAATGCTAATTCACACTCAAAATGGCAATCGTAAAACCAGACAGAAATCAGATGATTAAAATTAAGGACCTTCTGCTGATTTTGGCCAAAATTAAGGACTTTTAAGGACCAAAAATCGATTCAAAAAATCTAAGGACTTTTAAGGACCATAGGAACCTTGTCATAAGTTGCTTGCTTCCTTCCCTTCTCTTCTTTTGTATAATAGCACTTTTTTTTTTTTTTTTTTTTTTTTTTTTTTTTTTTTTTTTTTTTTAACCTTTTGACTGCTGCTTCTATCCTGAATTTTTACTTATAAGAGAATTATATAAAGCCCTCTATCACAAAACTAACACACAATCAAAGTTTATGTAATACTTCTATCACAGTTTATAAAAAGCCATCTATAACAAAACTAACACATTTTTATGAGTATTACAATGACTACTCCACAAGCAGAGCTAGCGTATCATAATCAGTTTGAATGAATAACAATAAATATTATTAAAACAATCCATTCGAATGAATAAATAGATAAAAAACTTTAAAACAATTATTTGAAAAAACATGAACCTCAAAAAATTAAAATGAAATTCTTAAAAGGAAAAAATTATATAAAAATAATAACTATGGTTAAAAAATATACTAAAGAGAAAATTAGTTACTTAAAAAAATAAATGATGCACCTTTTCTGCTACTAGTTCACGATGCAAGGGAAAGGAAAATAGGTTACCATAAATTAAAAATTTCGCCAATTGAATTATTCTTGGTGAAAACTGAAAAAGGTGCAGTAAACTAAGTTTTTGAATTTCTCGGTAAGTTTCGCACCAAATTTTTTTTAATTTAATATTTATGCATAATTTGGGTCATAGAATTGAAATATGAAAAAAAAAATAGATATGTCATTTCAGAAAAAGTTTGCTTTTGTGTCAAAATACCAATGTTAGAACAATGCTATATAAAAACCTAAGATATATATCCCAAGTCGCGCTTATGAGATATGAAAAATGCAGGTTAAATTTTGTCCATCGGCCCAGTAAGAAGGAAGATATAGAAATGTTTCTTTTGTGTGTGTGTGTGTGTGTGTGTGCAGACATTACCATATATTGATGCACAACAAAATGAAATAGAAATATTAACTGATTAAACATTGGTTGAACGTTCATAAAATGTTCCACAAATATCTACAGTAGATTAGATCAAATGAAATTGAATGTTAAATGAAATCTTGTTAATATGTACCTTAAATCCTGAATTATCAAGAATTGTTTCATAACAGCTTAAATTAGCTTCATTCTTTTTTAATTACCCTGTATTTCATTAGAAATTTTACACTATCATGCACAAATTGATAGTAATGCTAACGCAATTAATTAAATAATTATTGATAAATTTGTATATAAAAATCTTACCATTTAATATCATCTGTATGGCCAAGATAATGTCTTTGAATCTGATCTTCAACATTGTATAACACAACAACAGAAGCAATGAAATAAACCATTTCACCGGTAGGTAAGAAATACAGATTTGATCTGCAATCTCTGCCCCTATAGCCATAACTTATACTTAGTTAAAGAAGATATCACTTTCAGTTTAAAAGAAAAAAATTTTTAATGTACGAGTTATATAAATGATACAAATTCATCTCATGATGGATTTTGTGAAAGGATACACCCACTCTAATTTTAATCTTTGGGATGGAGCATTATTTACTTTATTCAAAGAATAATCTTGCAAGTATTCAGTCGGTATGTGAATAGCTAATGGTCTTCCACGAAGGTACATCTTCACAATCCCTTCTTCTGCAAAGAAAAGTCTTTAAAATTGTATTTATAGTATATTTTAAAACTTAAAGGATAAAATTGTAATTTCAATAAAAATACAATAAAATGCCAAATGCACATGACTTTTCAACAATAATATAATAATTCTAATAAACATTCAAACTTCATAATTATCTTCAAAATCTTGGAAACGCGCATACATAATTTTTCATTCACGTAAAGTTTAACAAACTACAGGAAAATTAAAAATATTGTGAGATGCCCTCATACTGAAAAAAACACCATTTCTTTCAAAGCAGCACACAGGAAATAAGGTTTTTGAAGTGTTCCTGAGTCTTTCGTAGCCTTTAAATGCAATTGTTATGCAGCAATATTAATATATAATTAAACAAAATAAAATAAAAATAGCACAGAGAGCAGTAGTACCTGTATTAGGCAAAGAGGCATTAGCTAGTTAGAACTTAAGATTGTTCCTGCATACCCTGAATAAGTATCACAAAGACAACTGATAAAGTTTTCAGTGAAAGAAATTATTTTATTTCCATATTTCACTTCAAGATCATTTTTACATCTATCAATGAGCACTAAGATTGTTCAATAGAAATTCATAAAAAGAGCACACAAATTTGAGATATTGCTTTTATTACAATAATCTAAACTTCTTTTTTAAAAAAAAATAATAATCCTCAGAAAACAGAAATATAAATTACTTATTAATTTCTACCTATCAACATGATAGATAAGAGCAAAAATAGAAGCACTAAACAAAATAACATGAAACAAAATAAAATGCAATAAAAATAATGTACTTTTATTCAGCATTTAGCATCCATGATGATACATCCTGAATGCTAAAAATTCCTGGTAACTTAAGTACTTAAGACACAATAACACACAGAACAAATACTAATTCAGAAGTCAAACAACAAAAATCTGCGTCATTTTTTCATTTACGCTTTTGCAGCTGAGGATGGTGGTTCGGTAAAACCATCGAAACTAGTCCTGTGAAAATTTGAAAATATAATGCTGTTTTCTGATGTTTGACTTCTGAATTAACTTAAGGACTTTTTAAGCAGTATAAGTAAATAGTCTTAACTACATACTTCACTCAGAAATGCAGGAACAGTTAAATTTCTGTAAATAAATTCTGACGCTTTCCATGAAAATCAATTTACATTGATGAGGTTAAAAAGAATACAAATATTTTGAAAATTAGTCTACTGCTTTTATTTCATCACTTGTAAAAATGTGATTTAAAAAAATGCATATACTTAGTCTCCTTGACATTTCAAAATTTGCTTTTACAAATAACTGAACAAAATTTGTTTAATTTTCATCCAAAAGATAAAGATGTAAAGCAAACCAAACAGCTAAAGATAAACATCTTTAGTGAACTGAAATTCATCTCTTAAATAAAATCACAAAACTAAAACTTCATATAATTATTTTTCAATACACTGCTTTTTGCTCATGATATTTGTTTTACTAATTATTTCCAAGTCTACTTAAGTTACTGTCTTTTTATATTACAAAAAATATAGCATTGATTTATTACCTTGCATTAAAACTGCTTCTTTGGTGCTGAAATCAAAATAAAAAATAAAATTAAAATATAACAAATACAATGATTTTTATACAAAATAACTTATATATAAATAACTTATATATGAATGAAGCGTATGGCCTTTATACCCGTTTCTTGTTCCATTTTTTTCCCCCAGGAAACTAACAGTGGATTTTGATGTCCGGCTGCTTGCTTTGTCTCACTGTAGTTCTTTGTCCCGGCACGGTGTGTAAAGAGAAGGTATTTCATATTTGAAAATTGGGTATAAAATATGTTCCTGATAATATGTGGAGTTGACCATAACAGTTTTCTGCACTCTCTTTAATTTTTATTTGTTTTTATATCAAAAACCAGCAAAAATCATAAATCCCTTTTACAAATGTTCTTTAGATGCTTTGAACCATGTTCTAAGATTTTTCTGTTCTCTTTGATGATAATAAATGGATCTTTTTTTTATTGCGGTCATTTAGACATCATTATTTTTATTTATTGCGGTCATAACTTATATATAAATATAATTAATACACCTTTTTCCTACTAACATAAAAGTGAATGAAATCATTAGGAAAAAAAATCATTAAAATACCTCACAGTAAAGGCTTTTCTAATCAATAAATACCACAACAGTATGATTTTATAGAATTTGTCAAGTTTTTAAACATATTATGTGACTTCTTAAGTTTAAAAAATAAATTTTTACATCAGAATTTGAGTAAATTATTCGAATTTTCAAAACTGTGCATAGCAACAAACCAGCAGTACACTCGCCATCCTAAAAATCTTTAAAAAGAATAAATAACAAAACTACAATAAATACACAAAGTACTAAAAAAGGTCTAACACTTTATAATATTAATTGACTAAAATCGGTCATTCCTCAGGAACAAAGAGCAAAAAGAGATCAATGATTATCACCAAGTACTTAAACAAATAATGATAACATATGTTTAATTCAAAGCAAAATTCAACCTCACATTATTTTTTTTAATTCTTATGTTTTACATTATTTCTAGTAACACATAAATAAAACTCAGTCAAAAAGCTTACCTAATTTTATTCATTTCTTAGAAACAAAGGATTCACAGCACAAACTTTCAAAAGATAATTAGATATGCAGTTTTTTTTTAACAGCAGGTACAAAATTTATACAGAAGTTATTACTTTTAACAATTTTCAACTGCAGTTTTACTTATTTAATTTTCAGTCAACACCTAACCAAGTAATGGAAAAACCAGACCGTCAGTCCTATGCTTACAACCTCCACTTTCCTTACACTTCTATATGTAATATAATTTTCAGATTGATACCAAGTATTTTGAAATGCTTATTCATTTGATAAAAAATTATAAGCAAATTGTGCATACTGACTTTTATAACAGAAGAAAGCTAATGAAAAATTCTTCTGACTGAATCTGAAAGTAACCTTTAAAAAGCATTTCATGATTAAATTTAAAAGTATGTACAGAAATGTAATCATTTTCTGCGTAGAAAGAAAAGAAAGCTTCTTTCAATAATATAATTATAGTAAACATTAATAACTTGTTCTTCAGTATAAGTAATTTAATTCAAACATATATAATTTAGTATTTTACAACATGGAAAACCAGATATGTACTGTTTGTAATTTTACCTAAAAGTGATTTAAAAGATCAATAAATAATTTTTGCATATTCATTGAAGACAGAAAAGTTCCATGCAGCTACTCCTAATAAATAAATGAATAAAACAGAAAAGAAAAAATATTTTGATTAGTTAACATAAAAATGAAAAACTAACTAAATGCTTGAAGAAATTATTAAAATTTTTATTCTATGAAACATATTTGACACAATATTTCACATCTGCATGCAGCACTGATAAAATTAATAACTGTGTAGACATTTTAAATCCTATCTTTATATATCAGATTCTTTTCAGACATATGCACCTGCTAAGCTACAATATTATTATAATACTCACTAAAATCTATTTTACTGAAACTACCTTAAGACGTGCACTATAGATTGAGACGCTATAGAAAACCACCACCAAAACCCAAATAGATTATTATATTTTTTACCCATGCCTAGTCTGAATTGGAGTTGAACTTCGCACGTTCAAATTGAATAATGATCCACTGGTTATTCTCCTGGGAAGGAATAAAGTAATTTATAATAAAATTTAACTTAAAGGATAATGTGATCTTCTTACACAAAAATGCAGTTGTTTTCAAGAATCAGTGCACTTTTATTATGCAAAACACATTAAAAAAATTTAAGTCTAAAAAAATTTCTAAAATCTAATATCTCTTGCATCATTGGTATAGTAATGGCATCATGTGTTTCAATAAATTTCAGAAATTATCAAAACATTGAAACATTTATGTGAACTACTAAAAAAGACCTATTTCCCTGCAAAATAAAATTTAGAGAAAATGGTATTTTTCGATTAAGCACTTGCCACACTTTTTGGTGCCTGTCAAAGGGAATCCAAATATAGACCACAACCCAATGATAGCATTGTCTCAGGAATTTGTGCGTGTGTATACAGACAAGAACAATTAAACATATACACATATGTTATTAAAACAGTACTGCCAAAATGCGTAGCAGGTACATAATTGAAAAGTGCTAAGAAAACATTACTATTTACTGCAATACATGAAATTGTTAGACCTGATTCCTCTCTAAAGTTCATAAAAAAAGCATTCCATTTCGTTCACTGATTCTAATTTAAGAACTTTGCATATGCAGAGGCTGTTAACACATTTTATAGACAACTTTGCTTTGCTATTAAAAAAAATCTCCTGCTTGAAGAAATTGTTTTAACTGTAACTATACTTTTGAAGTGTAAATTATCATCTATTATTTGCCAATTTTGTTTTCATGCAAAATGGTGCTTTTAAAAGAAGCAATGCATGGAAGGCTATCTTTGTGCTCTTTCCAAAGAAAATTACTCATATTTAGTTATTAAAAAAAATGCTGGGAAGGCCATGATTTTTCAGTATCTAAAGCGACAACAGAAAATATTGTCAATAAGAAAGGAAAAAACATCAAAGTTTGGCTTCAAGGGAAAAAAATGCTCAAAACATATATCCAGGGAAAAACCGGAATGCTTCGAATGTTGCAAACGTAAGAACTTTAATATTAAAAGAAAATCTTCGAAGTCAAAGAAGACAGGTGTATAATTATCAAAATACTCAGTGTCAAAGGGATTAATGCCGATTTTAATCTTAAAAAGGCCAAAAAAAATGTAATGTGTGCCATCGTTCTCCACAACATACCGCCGAAAGCAGAATGCACTGCAGAATTCTCTATGAGAAACAATTATTCAGTCAAACATCGGAAAAATGTTGTCACATTAGATGAATCTTGGGTACATCTAAATGACCGCAATAAAAAAAAGATCCATTTATTATCATCAAAGAGAACAGAAAAATCTTAGAACATGGTTCAAAGCATCTAAAGAACATTTGTAAAAGGGGTTTATGATTGTTGCTGGTTTTTGATATAAAAACAAAATAAAAATTAAAGAGAGTGCAGAAAACTGTTACGGTCAACTCCACATATTATCAGGAACATATTTTATACCCAATTTTCAAATATGAAATACCTTCTCTTTACACACCGTGCCGAGACAAAGAACTGCAGCGAGACAAAGCAAGCAGCCGGACATCAAAATCCACTGTTAGTTTCCTGGGGGAAAAAAATGGAACAAGAAACAGGTATCAAGGCCATACGCTTCATTCATATACCTACTAAATCTCCTGATGTATCATCCACGAATGTTTGAGCTTTGATTGTCCAGACGTCAGCCTACAACCGTCCTTGGACTTTGGAAAGCTGAACAAGTGAAATGGGATAAAATATCGCCTCCGATACTATAAAAGGCTTTATTGTTTTGGAATTTATGATGTAGAAAGATAGTGAAGAATACGAGTTATCAAATAGAAAATATAAAACACAAAAATTTTCTACACATATGATGAAAATTGTCTAAAAAATGTGTGGACAGCCTCTGTATTTGCCCTTAAAAAACTTACAACTGTGAACTTCTTATTATACTCTGGACAAGGATGATATCATAATACTCGATTGGTTTTTATTTCTTTAATGGCTCAGTTGATCAGCATTTAATAAGTTATCTGAAAACTCTCAGCAAATGGTTGCTCCCAAAACTCAAATCAAAAAGAATTTTTGATACTGTGTGGTTTCAACTGTACTGCATACTAACATATTTGATTTGGTCATTTGTAAATATCTGGGCAAAATTTTCCCACATCGCTGAATTACACATGTTTATCTTTAATGTCTTAACCTCCATGCTGATCTCAGGACACCTGACAATGCAGTCTGTAGATCTTCCAAAAGAAGAGGTACGAAAATTCAAATGCTCTGATAATGAGCAGTTGAAAGATGCAATTTGTGAAGGCATTTAAAAATAACCCGCTTTTCATGCTGTTGCGCATGAGCAATTGGCCATTATGTACAAATAGAACTATGGTACAAATAGCTATGGTACAAAAAGAACAGCTATGGTACAAATAGAAAGTACAAAAAAATTTGGATTCACAGGATGTGATAAATAAATTTTGTATTTTACACTAAACACTTGTACCTTATAAAATGCTGTACTGATAGGCTTGTGTTTGAATACCAGAGAAGGCATAGATGTTTGTAAGTGTACAGTGTTGTGTGGCAAGGAGGCACTCAAAACAGTGAGCTGCAAGTCCTCTTGAGAAATTAATGGGAGGAGGGATGGGGTGGACCTTTGAGGTATTCTCTCTCAAAATTAGGGTGGAACTGTACAGTTAGTGAAGCAGGACTATGACTAGATAACCAATAGTGAAATTCTGGTATCCCACCCTCGAACTGGTACCAGTATTTCATTAAAGCGGCCCTGATCGGTATGATAGTCAGTGATGCCAACTGTCATATTGCTGAACCTAGGTTTGATTCTCAGAGAAAACATAGATGTATGCAAGTGTATACCGTATGTGCAACAAAGGGGCACTTAAAATACTACCAAGCTGAAATTCCCCTCAAGTGGTTTGGTGGTATAGCAAGAGGGATGGGATATGCTTGGATATTTCCCTTCCGGAGGCATGAAGTACAGTGGATTCGCAACTATATGACCAAAGATAAAATGCTGGTGTCCCATTCAGTTCTACATGTATGTGTACATTGTAAGAGCTGATTTATGCTTTATATATATATATATATATATATATATAAAAAACCTAGGCCCATTTTTTTGCTATGTGAAATAAGCAGCTTGAGGTTTTTTGCTATATGAAATATGCAGCTTGAGGATTCCCCCCCACACCCCTTTTAAAAAACAACATTCTTTTTAATGCTATCATTACAGAAATATATGTGATTTTGGAAGGGAATGTGAGTGCACAATGGGCACATTAGCAAGACGTTTTGAGTACCTATAATGAAGTATATGATAAAAAAATTTCCTGAGTCTAAACAGCATTATTTAAGGCTTTTCATATCTACTGTACAACACAAGATGATGCAGGCTATATGAGCAACTGTTCAGGATATGAAATTTAATAGGACTCTAGACAGTCAAAAAATTAATTTAAATGAATTATTTTTCTGTTGTTTATTTCTTGTCATATACCAAACTGAAGATAACTGAGACAAAAAGGTTTTTGACAGAAGTTGCTACAGGAAAAAACTTCACCTTTTGATACTGAGGCAGAGAAACAAAGCAGATGTCACAAACATTGAGACAATTAGTCTCAAGCTTTATTTACAGTTAGTTTTGAGTTGAACTCTATTTTGTTACTTAGTGCAATACTCATTCAATAGAGGGTCATGCAAATTGAAAGGACAGTGGCACAGTTTAAAACATAATATTAATTTTAACTTTCCAAGGCAATGATGTAAACATACATTCAGAAATATATGTCATGGTGCCTTTAGGTACACAAAATATGTATCTTGAAATGCGCCCAGACAATTAAGGTAGTACATGTATTGGAAGAAAAGGAATGAAGGTAGAAAGTGGAAGGGTCATTTTAGAATTATAATCAAGAAAAACAACTAACTCATGATCTCTTTGGGAACTCAAGGGTTTGGGGGATAAAAAACCTTGGCTAACCATTGCCTGCTTGGAGCTCATACATGAATCTATTGTAGTGCATGCTGCATTCCTGCCGCACTGCTGAGTAATCTTTCTTGCAGTAGTTGTAAAACAGATACTGACAGCTAGTAGTTGTGTTTGCTAACTATTTTAAAAAGTTAGCAAGAGCAGCACTGACCCAAGAATGTGTAAAAATGTGTTACACTGTTGCATGGAATCAGTTGAGACTTTCAATATAGTAAGTCACTTCAATTAGTAAATTCAGCACAAGAAGAAATCCCTTTAATTTATATTATCATTTTAAGTTTGTAATATCACCAAAAGTGGTTAGAAACGATGTGTTTGATTTTAAAATTGAATTTGTAGGCTGCATTAACTGCTAAACAGTACTAAGGGAGATAACTCATCAAGCTGTTTAGTTAATTATGTGATTCTGTGGTAGTAAGGCCAAATAATTTCAGACTGCAGAAGTTACAACATAAATGACTTATTAAGCTTCATGCAATCAAATGGCAATAAGATGTTAATAAGATAATTATCTCTTTCCTCTTTTTTATCTCAGTATCCATTCTCTCTTGTCATTCCAGCTTTTCATGACTAAAACCTTTGAAAATAGTTGTATGTTCTTGATCTTCTTTACTCTGAAAACTGTATAATACACATATTACTGGCATTTTATGTAAGCTGTATATTTAGCATAAATTTTATTGTTTTTCTATATATTAATAGCATAAGTTTCTGTTTTTTTAATTCATTATTTGGTGTGTTTTAACTGTTTATATTTTGGCATAAGAATATTAAAAAAAATCCATTTCAAATTAATGGTATCTGCTTCTTTACTTTATACCATTTTTACAGAAGATTTCATTGGAATGCTCTACCTCAATAAAATGGGGAAATTTATGCATCTGATGAAATAATCACAGAATAGTGTGATAGAACATATACTAACATTAATAAAAAATTATAAGAACATTTATTTACCTTGAATTATTATTTGATGTTAAATATTCTTGACTTGATGACCACTTCTTCATTGCATTTAAATTTGATGTAGACATTGATATGTGACGGCTCGGAGATGGCGTGTGTCTTGGTGATGGAGAGCTTCTTGAATTTGTTATTGATGGAGAAGGAGATGGTATAGGTGATGCAGAGCTTGAACTATGTCCTCCTTCACTGTGAAGAGAGCCAGACGATGGATAATGTGACAACTTTCGACCTGGGTGCCCTGGAGTTTGTGGTGTAGTTGGAGTATGATGAGAATTGACGGAGTTTGTTGTGGGAGAAGTTGCTTGTCTTTGGTAGCTAACATTGGATGGTCTATATGGCAGTGCATTACCTGATATTGTGGATTTGACTGGAGCTGGGACATTGTTACTAGTAATTACAACAGCTGAAACAGTTTAAGAGGGGGAAAAAGTTAAGATCAGAACAAATTAAACACCTCAGATACTGGGTGCCAAAAAAGAGAAATAAGTAGTAAAAGCAAAACAAAATTTTATACCACGGCCTTCAAGTTGTGTGACACGCCTTAAAACATCCGCTAAAGTTCCACGAAGGCATACAATTTCATCAGCCTGTTCCTGCACTTTCTTCTCTAAATCTGCAACTCTTTCTCCTAAAGCATCATTATCATGATTTAGTATGTCCTCTGCAAAATAAAGAGATCAAAGTAAATAAATTGCTAAACAGTAAATAACATTATTTATAGACAGATACTCAAATAAACTGAAGATTTTGGTGATATCAAAAAAAGAAACATATTTTTGAGAGTATTAGAACCTCAACTGGCATTTATTTGAAAATTACAATACATGAAACAAGCCAATTATATGCCTTTAAAATATATATACATTAATATAGATACTTAAATAATTAAATGTCAAATTTCTTTCTCCTTATAATACTTTGATGTCTTTTTCTATGTACTTGCACCAAAAATCACTGAAAAACGTTAAAAATGTATTCGAATAAATGGACAATAAAAAATTAGTAATAATTTTTAATAATATACCTATATCACAAAGGAATAAAAATTGCTCTTGGACTCACTCCTGCTAACAGCTTTTCTGTTTTCTAACACTATTATTAAACATCGCTTTCTTTACACATAAGTTATATAAAATTCAACAGTAAAATTACAAAATTTTAAAAGCAGCATATTTTTAGAATACCCAGTAGAGTGTTATGTTGCAATACATTTTTTTCTGTCTTTTTTTTTTTTTTTTTTTTTTTTTTTTTTAGTTCATCATACCAATATTCAGTTTTCTTAACTAGATGACCTACGCAACTTTGTTTTGTCTTTTCAACTTTATTATTAACCATCACTTTCTTCCCACTTACGTCACATAAAAATTCAACTGCAAAAGCACAAAATTTTTAAAAGCAACATATGTATAGAATTCAATTTATCAAGCCAATGTTCAGTTTTTTAGTAAGAAGACTTAAACAACTTTTCGTACTTTTCTGTTATTCGGACCAAATTCACAGATGCATGTATGTGAGGTACGCGCAACAAAAGATTCACAGATGCATGTATGTGAGGCGTGCCTACAAAAGTATAGATAGCCTTACCTAGAAAATAGCAATCAGGCATTTAACATTAAGAATTAGATTTAATAAGGAGGAGTAATATAGATACATAATAATGGCTTAAGGAAGCGTACACTCCCAACACAGATCGCAGTTACATATCACGTGGAAGGCACAAGACGAGTTGTTTCACAGACACACACACACAGACCCAGAACTGCTGGGGAAAATTCTTCTATTCCCGTCAGCCCGTAGGGTTGTCAAGCAGGTTTACTGTTTCGCCAATTGGCGTTTTTCTCCAGAGCTTTAGGGTCTGTATCGCCTGTTTGGCGCTGCCGCTACATACTCCTTCCGCAGTGTCAACGAAATGTGACATACCGACATGGGGGTCAGATTAATCATCCAGAACGGGTGATACCAATGTCCGAAGGTTTTTTTCACACTCTTGGAAGCAACTTGTGAAAGAGTCCATGGTTACAAAAGCGGGTTTCAGTCTATCTATGGAGATCGTTTGCTTAGTCCCTTTTATTTCGAGATCAAACGTTTTATCTCGTCTTTCTAGCACTTTAAATGGTCCCATCATAAGGAGCTTTGCAAGTGGTTTTTTAACTCCGTCGTGTCGAACAAACACATGCATGGACTTGTGAAGGCGTGGATGAACGAAACAGGTTCGCTGACCGTGGCTAGAAGTCGTGGTCGGGCGGACACTGGCAAAATGGGATTTTAAATCCTCCACAAACTGTTTGGGGACACATCCATAGGTGTCGAATTGAAAAATTCTCCTGGGAGACGAATCGGTCTTTCCATACACAAGTTCAGAAGTGGTTGCTCCTATGTCCTCCTTGAGAGCGGAGCGGAAACCCATCAGAAGTGTTGGAAGAGCCGCCACCCAGTTTCTGGTATCATAAGCTTTTAAGGCAGCTTTCAAAGGATGGTGGAATTCCTCGATAAGTCCATTCACTGTGGATGGTACGGAGACGTGCCACGAGAATGGTTGCTCCTATTCTCCTTGAGAACGAAGCAGAAACCCATCAAAAGCATTGGAAGAGCCACCACCCAGTTACTGGTATCATAAGCTTTTAAGGCAGCTTTCAAAGGATGGTGGAATTCCTCGATAAGTCCATTCACTGTGGATGGTACGGAGACGTCCTGATTCTCTTGATTCCCAATAATTGGGAAAGGGCTCGAAATAAGCCGCTTTCAAACTGTCGCCCTTGGTCAGTAGTAATAACAGCTGGACAACCAAATCGAGTAATCCAGTGGTCATAAAAAGCTCGTGCTACAGTGCATGCAGTTATGTCTGGTATGGGTACTGCTTCCGGTCATTTAGTAAACTTATCTATCATAGTTAAACAGTAATAAGTGTTTTTGAGAAGGGAGGTAGCAGGACCAACGAAGGTCAAGGTGGACGTGATCAAATCTCTGTGATTGGTCTGGAAACTTCATTAATGGGGTTCTAGTATGTCTGCTTACTTTTGCTTTCTGGCATGGAATGCACTGTCCGTGCCCATTGTGTGCAATCTTTATGGATGGAATATTAAACAAACCAAGAACATATTAACTTCGTTGATGCACGAATGCTTGGGTGAGACAAATTGTGCAATGTGCAAAAACTTTCTCACGGAATGCCGGGGGAAATAAGGAGGAGTAATATAGATACATAATAATGGCTTAAGGAAGCGTACATTCCCAACACAGATCGCAGTTACATATCACGTGGAAGGCACAAGACGAGTTGTTTCACGGACACACACACAGACTGGAGTCGTTACCCAGAACTGCTGGGGAAAATTCTTCTATTCCCATCAGCCCGTAGGGTTGTCAAGCAGGTTTACTGTTTCGCCAATTGGCGCTTTTCTCCAGAGCTTTAGCGTCTGTATCGCCTGTTTGGCGCTGCCGCTACATATGTATGTGTATTCATACATTTATGAATCTGATCACAATAACATAAACGTACCCACCATTTTTTGCCTTTGTATCTCGCATAACTCAAAAATGAGTAGTCTCAGAATGTTGAAATTTTGTATAGGACTGCTATAGCATGCAGATCTGCACCTCGTATTTTGGTTGCAATTGGCTGCAGCAAACATATATAAATATATTTATATATATATCCACTCTGTTACCTGGCTCAGTGATCTCAGTTTCTTACTCTTATATGTTTGTAAATTGTGCATTTTCTGCCTTAAAAAATGATTTAATTATGTTGTTCTTATCTTTCGGTTAAGGTTTTTATGCCTTTAGGAAATCTGCAAGCAATATTTGTAGAATTATCAACAATTTAAAAGCTAATCAAAATCGTAAAAACAACCTTGTATTTAGCGTAGGTATAATGAAACACTCAATCGATTTCGAGGGCAGCTAAAGGTCCCTCCTCATCAGGAGAAAGAAATACCTAGAAAGAAGAAAATAAAGGAGAAGGAGTCGCAGAAACACGTGGTCCTTATCAGCACTGCACGTGGTTATAACTAGATTTTTAATCAGAGTTGC